GTATGCATATATTTAGGGGGAGCTTAGTCTATGTAATGTGATAGTCAAATTTTGTGACCTATTCCACTCCACATACAAAGGATCACAAAGTTTGACCCTTCTTTGTGCTACTAATATCTTCCTTTTCAGTGTTAGATTTCAAAGGAGAAGAATTTATAGGACCAAAAGCAAGCCCAATCATAATAATTTACAAGTGGTAATTGTAACGTCCCGCCTCCTCGATGCCAGGCCCGCTTACATCTGGTAGCTTTCCTAGGACATAGTCTGTCCTCACAGACCAACACCAGTCTTTTCTGCGCACTTTGTCCTCACTCATGCGCCCCAGAAAGAACTTCCCGGTCGGTCACCCATCGCTCCAGGCCAAGCACGCTTAACCTTGGAGTTCTTAAGAGATGAGCTTTCAGAAAAGAAGTTGCAACTTGTTGGTACGAGTATCCTATTAATCCTATTAAGCTCTGGGCCGGGGTGTTACATCCTCACCCCCTTAGGAGACCGACGTCCTCGTCGGTCAACCCCAGGCCAGGAACGTCCCCTCTTGGCAACGTCCGTGTGTCCAGTGCCAGCGCATGTGCCATGCTGGGTGACCACTCTAGGTCCACACCAGCCATGCGCACCATGTTTGCGCAACTAACACACGCACCCGTGAAACCGCAAGGGTCGGCTCTGATACCATTCTGTAACGTCCCGCCTCCTCGAGGCCAGGCCCGCTTACATCTGGTAGCTTTCCTAGAACATAGACTGCCCTCACAAACCAACACCAGTCTTTTCTGCGCACTTTGTCCTCACTCATGCGCCCTAGGAAGAACTTCCTGGTCGGTCACCCATCGCTCCAGGCCAAGCACGCTTAACCTTGGAGTTCCTAAGAGATGGGCTTCCAGAAAAAAAGTTGTAACTTGTTGGTACGAGTATCCTATTAATCCTATTAAGCTCTGGGCCAGGGTGTTACAGTAATGGTCTGAAAAACGGAGGATAGTGGATTATGGAGTTAGGAGGATGCTTAAATCTATAATGCCATATGGGGATATTTGTAAGAGCAAGATAAGTTTTCAAAGATGTTTACATGTGGTATGCATTAGCTTACATGTGGTATCTTTTAGCATCATATAACTTTGCCCTTTGCATTACATCCTAGCAAGTAAATAGTTTTTAAATTCAAAAAAAATTATTATTTGCTTGTTTTGGTCGTGCTGTCATCAATCACCAAAAAGGGGAGATTGTAAGAAAAATAGACTCTAGGCCCATTTACTTTGGATTTTGGTGTTTGATGACCAACACAACCAAATTGGACTAATAAATTTGCAAGTAATTATTTTGTAGTTCAATAGAGTGCAAGACGTGACTTGGACGAAGGCGACATGATGATCCCACGATCAACACCATAAGCAAGACCCTAGAAGCACAAGAGAAGACCCAAGATATCAACCAAAGTCCAAGCACGAAGATAGAAACCAAACCGGACACAAGATCATGAAGAAACGAGCTCGGCAGAGGTGACCAAACGCGGTCCTATGAGGACCGGACGCGTCTGATCAATTGCTCGGCAACAACAGGCGTCAGCAGCTGTGACCGGACGTTGAGCGAAGCAGTGACCGGACGCACTGATGACACTGTTCTTCATCATGGCAATGTTTTCAGCGTGACCGACGCACAAAGTGTAGCGTCCGATCATGTCTAGAGAGGTTCCAGAGTAGCGGAATTACGACCGGACGCGTCCGGTCAAGACGACAACAACGTCCGATCAGTAGGAGAAAGCTGGGTTTCGCCCCCAACAGCTAGTTTCTCTATGGGCTTATAAATGGACCCACAACCGACCATTTGAGATGTGGAGAGTTGAGAAAACATACCAAGGATGTTGATATACCATTTTAGTGATCTCCACTTGCATAGTACTTAGTGATTCATTAGGTGTTTAGCGTAGGTGCTTTGCGAAGTGCTTAGGTTGATTAGACCACCGCTTATGCGCTTGCTCTAGGTTTAGGCCTAGCGTTTAGTGAGGTTTGCACACCTCTTACCACTCGGTGCTTGCGCGCATCATTGTTGTACATCGAAGGGGCTTGTAGTCTTACAAGATCACACCAACCGCGTTTGTGGTGTGGCCGCCACCGTGTACCGAAGGGAACAAGGCCCGCGGTGGTTCGGCTGGAAGCTTGATAGTGAAGACGGCGGTGAGTGGTCTAGAAGAGGCTTGCCGGAAGGCACACTGGAGACCCACTTACGCGTGGGGAAGGCTCGAGGCTATCCACGGAGTTCCCCTACCGGGAGCTTGGCCTTTGCAAGGGATTTCTTACGAGGGGCTCCAACGAGGACTAGGGGGAAGCTTGCGCGCTTCTCGATACCTTGATAAAAATGCCGGAGTCATCGATGGGAGTTTGCATATCTCTACCTTACTCTTTAGCTTCCGCATTTACATTGTTTGCATAACTCCTTTTGTAGTAGAGATAGCAACACACTAGCAAAACAGTAGTTGCACATTTAGATAGTTTATCTCTTTGCATAAGTTTTTCTAAGGTTAGAAAAAGAGGCCATAGTTTAGAGTTAGAGTTTTAAGTTGCCTAATTCATCCCCCTCTTAGGCGTCACGGTCCCTTACACCCCCACGTCCAGGTACGGCGTAGAGCTACAGGCCAGGCTCACTTGGCAGACCAGGTGCTACTCGGTGCCCGAAGTAAGCAAGTAGAAGTAGAGTTTATCTATCCTTAGACCCTAAAACCATAGGAATCCTTCTCTACCCTCTACCTACTCTACCATTGTGTTGTCCATGGACGAACTAGCTAGAAGAGTATCTCCGTTCCTTATGAAAATACTATACCCTGAATACTTCCGAATAAAATGCTACAACGGTAATTCCGTGCGCTTGCGGATTATTTCTGTATGTGCATGCGTCTGTGACAGTTAGAAATGGTGTTGGAAAAGTCTACATGCAAACAATATTGTTGACTATTTGTAAGCTCCAACGATTGTAGGATCCCTTTTTAGTGTTCATGTCGCGTTATGTTCACGCGAAACCATTATTTACCCCCTTACCCCTCCCCCTTGGTGGCTGCGACTCACGAAAAAACCCTTTCCATCCCCTTGCCACCGCGTGCAGCTGCCGACGGGCGCTCACTATTCGACTGCTCTCATCCCCCTGATGCCCGCTAACGGATTCCCACCGTGACAGCCGCCGCATCTGTCAACCACGCAGCCGAAAACCCGCCATCGCAAAGCTGCAAGCATGCCGTCGACCTGCCATCTGGACCAAGGTGCTCAAGCTTCCATATTTCAATTCTGTACTTTCGATTCAATATTTCTAAATTAGAATTCAATAAGTTCCAAATGAGATTCAATAGTACCCAATTTAGATTCAATAGTTTCGATTCAACAGATCTAATAGTTTTGAGGGATTTGGTATAGTGCATCCTTGTTTAGATGGAGGGGCATTTTAGTCTTTTCATGTAGTCTGAGTAAGGAGGAGAATATATTGGAAATAGAGAATGAGAGGAAAAGAGAGAAATCCGTATTCAAAAAGTTGCATGTTCTAAGTTAAATTTTTAAAGACACGCGAATTAAGTGTTAAATCTGAAGAGTCGCGCATATTTAGGCAGTGCTTGGCACCGCTCCTGCCGGCTCCGGCTCCCTGCGCTGCTGCACTATGCTACCCTATAGCAAGGAGCCTGTCAGCTCCGTCTCCAGCAAAAAGCAACATGCAAAGAGGAGCCGATGTATCCTCCACGATACTGCTACAGTGTACCCGAAGCCAAGGCTGCTGGAGCCCTTCCAAACAGGCCCTTAACGAGGCAGTTATCGTGCGATGGGTCACGCTCCCACGCGAGTGCGCGACCCCTCCCACCGTCTCCTCCCACCACCGCCCATGGCCGACGGCGCTCTGCCGCCTCGCCATCCCGCCTGCCGTCCGCCCCCGCCTGTTGACCCCGCCCTCCGCTAATCCGTCGTCTCCATCAACCAGTCGCCAACGGTTGCCGACGAGCCTCCCCCACCCTGACCCATTCTAGCCGACGCCTCTACCAGCATGGCCGGCGACGCTCCGCCACCTCACCGCCCTGTCCACCCACCACCACCCACTGTCGGGCCAACTTGCAACCAGGATCTAGAGCCGAGGAAGGCTTTCAAGCCTCGTTGTGCTTTATAGTTTGTGCATATTTATGGCCTGTTTGAATGATCGGCTTTAAAAAAGCTGTAGTATCACAAAACTGTGGTTTTATAAGCCAAAGAGAAGCAAAATCATGGTTTATATTTAGAAAAAAGAGGTAATGAGTGGAGTTTCTAAGGGTCTGTCGCTTGGAGGAATTCTGGAGAAATTTGGATGGTTTGGAGGAATGTTGGAGGAATCTGTGAGAGAAAAACACTGTTCCGGATGAAAAAAGAAGCGGATCAAATCGGATTTAAGGGCACGCGAATGGGGCCTCAAACTCAAAAAAAAAACTATAGTTTTAACAAAACCATAGTTTTAGAGACTACAAGACTTTTTGCATCCGAACACCTAGTAGTTTTTGAAAATCAAAGTTAAAACCATATTATTTATCTGATACTTCAAAAATACTTGATATCAAATAGACTTTTTTTTTTACTTGTATCAAATAGAGCCTTAACGTCAAATCAAATATTGAAATTTTTCTAGCCAAAGGGATCGACTTCTCCTCCCCGCGCCGTTAACACACGAAGGCCGAAGCGGCTCGGGGGCGAGCAGCGGGACAAATCCCATCGATCCTCTTCCTCCCCGCGTTCCTCTTCCTCCCGGGCCTCTTCCGCCCCGCGGTCCCGCCCCTCTCCTGCTTGCAGCCGTCGAGCCTCCTCCCTGCGCACCTCGCCGTCCTTGTCGATCTGGGAGACGGCCTCCAAACAGGGCCATATCTCTCGCTCGCCCTTTCCCCTCCGATCCGACCGGTGTGAGCTGCGGCCGGCGCGATACATCACCCCTCCTCCCGGTCCCCCTATGCCGTAAGCGGGCAATCAGAACCCCGAACACCCGCACGCCGGCGCGCCGCTGTCGTCTTCGCCACCATGAACTCCATCGAGCCCTTCAACCGGTGAGCCCCGACCCTACTCCATTCTCGAAACCCTAGCCGCAGCCGTTGCTGAACTTGGCGCGGGATCGGGTTGGTTGGTTTTCTGGCAGGCTGGTGAGGCTGGCGGCCCGCGCTTTCTACGACGACGTCTCCATGAAGGGCGACAACCAGCCCAAGACTTCCCGCGGGGACAACCGCGGCATGGCCGTCGTCGTCCTGGACGCGCTCACCAGGTACTGGATGCGAACTATTTCTGTTGAACCGTTTGTCTTCTCAATGAAAAAAAATGGTTGTGTACATGAGAAGCTCGGTTACAATAAGGTTGGAGTGGTGGATGGTTGCCTTGAACAAATAATTTGCTGCTAGCCTTCAAGTTTGCACGAGCACCTTGCCTTCATATGCCATCAACACACCCCACCTGCTGGTCCAGTGACACCGCACTCATGCTATATCTATTAATAAAAAACCAGATACTCGGAAGATATGTATCTATGTTTTCAAATCGTTTAATCAACCCTAGTTGCCATGGCACCGATAAGGTGATCAGTCGTTGATAAGCTCGATTAGTCGAGTCTAGCCGATCCTTGTTGTCCTCTATGTACCAGGACCGATATACTATATAGCATGTAGTATAAAGGCTATATGAACCAAGTTTTAAGATAGAATGTATGGTTACTTGATCACTTACTGTTGAGGTTTGATTTCTGAAGTGTCCAAAACTCCATATTCAAGTTTTAAGGCAAGCAAAGAGTGGCCAAAATAGATCTAGAAAGCAAGAAGAACAAGAGCTAACAGCAAGAAGTGGAGAAGGAAGATGTACACTAACAGTAAGCCGAGGAGCTTATCTTTCAAATCCCTTTCAGCAGGAAGTGCCTGTGGCTGGAGAGCGAGGAGGCGCCTGTGGCTAGAGAGGGTGTGCCGCCGAGACGGCGAGACCTGCCGCTGAGGCAGGCGGTGGCTGCAGTGCAGGAATGCTCCCTATCAGGCCAAAAAAAAGAGCCTAATGGGCTAACAGACCAGATGTCAACCCATGATGAAAATGAAATCCGCCTGCTAGTCGTCCATGCCCAAATCGTCCGATTAGTCGTGATTAGTCGCTGACTAATTGGACGACTTGGTTTCTAGTTGCTCTAGTCGAATAGGTGGGCATAATCATTGCCCGGGGACCGATAAGGCCGACGAATTGCAATTAGTCGGACGACTTAATAACACTGATATGTATCGGCCGCGTATCTGTATTGCATACGCATCTGGTACGCGATACGAGGCCTCACCCACACCCATGTATCCATGCAACATAGGTTTTCTGTGGTGTAACCTAACCACCTATTTGATTTTTTTGGTCTGTTTGATTTATGCAAAAATTATTCTACTTCCACCTCAGACGGCAGTGGGTCCGGGAGGAAGATTTGGCTAAAGCATTGAAGCTCCACTCAAAACAGCTGCGTCGCATTCTCCGTTTCTTTGAAGAGGAGAAACTAGTCACGAGGGATCATCGGAAGGAGGTTAGTTTTATTTATGTATGTTGATCTGTTGTTGAACATGCATAGCTGCGATTCCCTTTTGTAGATATGAGCAAGTTCCAACTGCCAACTGGTGACAAAATGTCCTTGTTGTCTATTTACCTAAATGGTGTTAAGCTGTAAGGAAGATAATCCAAAATTTTCAAGCCTTGAAAATGTGTGTGACGTTTATCAAGTAACTAGGTATGTAGGTGGACAGAAATTTATTCATCTATAATTCTCCATCATGAAGTTGGTTGCTGGCTGCAGAAATTTGTATTCTGACAATTACTTGAATAGTTACATTTCTCGCTATCTTAAAGTGTGCCAGTGAATATCTTATGATTTCATGACCCGTGTTTCCTTTGGGTGTGGTTCCTTGTCTTCTTATCTGATCTGATTTTGTATTTCCTTTGATCTTTGTTGCTGCAGTCAGCAAAAAACACAAAAGCACATAATGCTGCTGCTGCAGCTGCTAATGATGGTCAACCAGTTGCTAAGGAGGGAGAAGAGAAAGTAAAGATGCACACGCATTCATACTGTTGCTTGGATTATGCTCAGGTTTGTCTTCTAAAACCTATGCCATTAAGTTGTTATTGTTTTTATAGATAAGAGTGTTTTTTTAGAAAAAGAACAAGATATTTGTATGTTGCCTTTAATTACTTGCAGGAAGTACTTTTTTTTAAATTTCCCTGAGCAATGATGAAGTACATTTATTTTATAGACTACTAATGCTTTGGGATTCTCCTGTTATGTTTCGTAATGAATTGGCCTTGATTGCAAAGAGGGAGAAATTTTATTAGTACTGTATTATCATGAGTTAATCCTTCTTTCTGTTTGATAATTTTAGCCTTGTAGGAAAAATATTTGACCTCCATTATTTGTAACATTTCCCTTTCAAACGAAGCTTTAGTTGGGCCTAGTCTTAGTAGTCCATGCTGGGTTCTAGGGTGTGAGTGCAAAAGTGATATTAAAGAGTAATACATGTACAAAAGCTTCTTTAACTTGATATATATACTAGCATACAGAGCACCTGCTTTGAATTTGGATTTATATCTCACTCTTTGTTTGCTCTCAAGCAATACAAGTCTTCAATTTTAAGCCGCTTATAACATCAACCCATGGACCTGTTTGTTTTGGTTTCTGGCAACTGCACGGCGCGTTGTGGTAGCTTGTCAATTTTCTTTGTCTTGCATCCTGCAATTCAAAGGGGGCGTCCCGCTGTGGAGGTGTTCACCTGACACACCCCTGACGTGCTGTTTTTGGAGGGATTATTGCCACTTATGTCGTATAATTGACACTGACTCTCAGACTAATAGGCCCCATGTTCAACCGACATTTCAAAATGCCCATTTCACGTGTGCACAGACATGCGGCAAAAAGCATCCTATCAACTGCTTTGTTCTCAGCTAGAACTCTAGAACTTCCTGTATTAAAAAAATTCTGTTGACAATCCTGTATGTTCTCTCAATGGCATGCAGATGAAACTTCTCATCTATACTCCCTCCATCCCAAATAAATATTTTTTTGAGGTTTAGAATTTATCCCCAAAAAATAACATTCTAAAAAAACATGGGACACTGCCTCTTAATGCGGAAGCTAATCACAGGTGGATGCAAATGATAATTGTCAAATACAGGAGATATCCTCCGGGAAGAGAAAGGAGATGAGGGTACATGCGTCTTTTGCCAGCGTCCTTAATCTGCCTGTCTGAATTTCCAGAAAGTTATTTATTTTGGGATGGAGGGAGTACATAGCATTAATGGGCTTTAGTATCATCTTCTGAACATGTATCTTTATCTCTTATAAAGCAAAACCCCATTAGAGGTTTTATCTAACACCAGAGCTCTCCACGTCATCCACTAACCAAACAGCAGCATATCATGGCTGGCCTTTACAGTCCCATTCGCAGTTTTAATAGATTGAGAAACTTCCATCCATCATCACATCCCACATGGAGACACCCACCGAATGGAGCATTTGAGGCGCCGATTCACCACTACAGATTGCAATAGCAATCGCTTCTCCTTCCCATCAGCTTCCTTTAAATTCTCCTCTTCCGCCTTATCTATTCATTCACCTCCGCAGCTCCACCTTCCCACTGTTGCAAGTAGCAGCGTCCATGCGCCATGCCTAGATCCTCTGTTGCCATCGGATCAGAAGATATAGGATTCTAGTTCTAGCCTTCCGGAGGGAGCAGGAATCTGCTTCATCAGCTCCACAATGCCGCAAGATATTTGCCACATGCGCTCCCCATTGCGCTGGCTTGCCGCTGCGATCTCCTCGCCGCACCCACACGCAATGGCTGGTGCAATAACCCCGCCATGCATGCAGCCTCGCATGACCTTTGATGGTAGCTCGCCATCCACGCAAACTGTAGGCTGCGCACGAGCTCCAGCAGGCTGCTCTGGATCTAAGAGCAGAGGAAGCGTGAGAAAGCGAATGGAGAAATAGAGATGGGGAGGGAATCACGGGACAGATTTGTTAAATAGATATGGTTAATTCTGCTTGGGGCCCACCGTGTGGTTGCCACAGACACGCGTCCTAAAAACCTTTTTCCATGTTCAATCACCGGTCGATGAGGGCTCTTTCCCGTAACATCATCATTATTTGTCTTCATCGATGCTTCACATGTATTATGCATTGCTTTGTTCCAATTAGTTTAATTTCTACTTCTCCATTTCATCTCCCATGTTTATCAGTTACTTAAAAAAGTGTCATGCATAACCTTAGAAAAATTAGATCTTACATTTAATACATGTGGCATTTTTGCACCATAACAAAGAGTGCTTTTGTAATTTTCAGCTAGCTGCTTACGTTTTCCAATTATACCTAAAAATTCTAAATAGTCCATGCTCTATAATAATAGTATGAGAGTCATCGCTAATTCCCGCAGCAACGCGCGGGGAATCCTTCTAGTTCTGGTTATATTGCGGGCATTTCTCTTGTTCTGTTCTCTTTAGCTCAAAACACTTGTATTTGGATCAACGCAAAAAAATCACTGGTCGTTTGCTCGAGTTTAGTTATCATTTACATTTTCATCAGTTGATATTTATTGTGTATGAAATTCACCATTATACTAAGAGCATTATGTCCCCATTCATCTTTCCTCTGTCTCTTGTTCTGTAATCCAATACAAATTATAATGGATGTTTGTCCTCCCAAAACACAGATCTGTGATGTTGTAAGGTACCGGATTCACCGCATGAAGAAAAAATTGAAGGATGAATTGGACAGCAGAAATACAATTCAACACTATATATGTCCTAGCTGTAATAAAAGGTAATAGGTGTTCGTCTAGTTTATTCATGCTAGGCAGAAAACTGGTGCGCTCTGGTAACTTTTTCTTCTGATCTGCAGATACTCCGCCTTTGATGCACTACAACTGGTAAGCTACACAGATGAGTACTTCCATTGTGAAACTTGCAATGGTGAACTGGTTGCAGAGAGTGACAAGCTTGCTTCTGAGGAAATGGGAGATGGTGATGACAATGTTAGAAAGCGCAGGCGTGAGAAATTAAAGGACATGCAGCAAAGAATTGAAGTTAGTATTCGGTTATCTTTGGAACTCTTCTAAGTTTTAATGCCAAAATTTACGTGCTCAGTCTAAATATTATGGAAGGAAACAAAAATGTAAGGTGTTTTCAGCATTCCAGCACAACTTCTGAGAATAGCTGGTTGACAAAGGAAATACTTTTGTTCTTGATTGAGGAAGTCAACCAAACAGTTTGGAAGAAAACAAGAACACATATATAGCTGCACTGATGTAATATTGTAAAACTGATACGAACATCCACCTGTGACAGGAATGGCCCATTACCACCAGGGGCGGAGCCAGGAAGTTAATTTTTTGAATGTTAGGGCCTAGGGGGGGGGGGCAGCAGTGTTAAATTTTCAAAATTTATTTGAATTTCAAAAAATTCAGTGGAGATTTCACATTCATAGGGGGGCATGGGCCCCTGCTCGCCCCCCCTTGTCTCTGCCCCTGATTATCACCATGAACGTCACCAACTTTGCTATAGCCTTTAGAGATTACACATTTTTTGATATTGTAAATAACAATTATCCCACCGGTATAAGGGCCTGTTTGGATACCAAGGGCTAATTGTTAGCTAGCTAAAAATTAGCCCTAGTGCATCCAAACAAGAGGGCTAATAGGTGGGCTGATTTTTGAGCCAAGCGTTGTTAGCCAACTTCAGCTAATTTGGGCTAATTTTTAGCTCCGACTAGTGACTAACCATGTGTATCCAAACAGGCCCTAAAACCAATCATTTCATGTCCTTGACTGTCTGCTTACAGTTTTTTATAATTTATATAATCTGTTTGCATAGAGTCAGGAAATAGTTTGACTCATACCACTACAAGTGCTTGGATGAGAAATTGAGAATATTAGTCTCTTTGGTAAAAAGAAAGATTATTGGGAAAAGAATGAATCGTGTTCTATATGCAACATATTGGAGGTGATTACATGTATACCGATCTATCAACAAGTGTCTCAGAATCTTGTTCTTGGTATTTAAGAATCTGACTGAGGTATGTTCTTTATATTGTTTTTCTATTACATTAGGAGCAATTGAAGCCATTGGTCGCACAACTTGATAGAGTGAAGAATCTGCCTGCACCTGAGTTTGGGAGTCTACAAACATGGGAAAGAGCAAATATTGGTGCTTTTGCAATTGGTGACCCTGCTGCAGCTGATTCTTCTAGGAATTCACAAGGGCAGTATGGTACACCAATGCCATTCATTGGAGAGACAAAGGTAAGACTTTCCACTTTCATATTGCTCCGAGTGCTACTGGATCTTCTTGGTTGTATATTCGACATAATTAAGTTAGATTTCAATGTTGGTCCCTTGCTGCCTTGCACAGGTAAGCAGTAATCTTACTAGCACACACACTCACTCACTATGGCTAGAGGTAGAAGAAGGGGTGAGCACAACACACACACAGCACAAGCACCAACGTTGGTCAGGCTCTGCCCTTTGGTTGTGGCAATTGAACTGCCTGTTTTCATTGCAGAGGTAGAGTATATTCAACTCATGTACCAACTATAAGGTACACATGAGCATGGCTGAGTACAACCCTACCTCAGCCCACTACCAAGACATGGCTGATGTATTAGCTACCAACTAATGTACCAGTGGTGGCCTATTGCCCTACTCCTACAGCAACTAGGACAACAGAGAATGACCTATTGCCAAATCTGCTGTGCAGCAAACAAAGAGTGATAGGTCAGCAGCAGATTATGTCTTACAATTCTTTCCCTAATCCTGCTGCTAACCCAAAGCCTTGACCCCATCCATGCCAATCATCTTCCTTAGCTCCATGAACCGCAGGTGCCCGAGTGACTTGGTGAGGATGTCAACGAGTTGTCTGCCGGTCTCAACAAACTCGATGACGATCTGCCCTCCATCGACGTAGTCCTGGAGGAAGTGGAACTTGATGTCGATGTGCTTGCTCCGGTCGTGGAGGACAGGATTCTTGGCGAGGGCGATGGCGGGCTGATTGTCCACCATCAGAGCTGGCGGGTGAGCTTCCTCGCCAGTCAGCTCGGCCAGCAGCCGGTGCAACCAGACAGCTTGGCACGCCGCCGTGGCCGTTGCGACGTACTACGTCTCACACGTTGACAGCGCCACAATCTTCTGCTTCAGCAATTGCTAGGTGATGGGGGCTCCTCCAAGGAAGACAAGCCTACCAGAGGTGCTCCGTCGCCCGTCGATGTCGCCCGCCATGTCTGCGTCGTTGAAAACAGTGAGCTCCGGCTCACCTTCCTTTGCCTTGAGGGGTGGCTCACTGAAGACCGTGAGCCGCAGCCCACCCTTGCCGCCACTCTTGGGGAAGATGATCGCTTGATCGAGCGTCCTCTTGACGTAGCGCAACAACCTTTTCACCGTCGTCCAGTGATCCTCACGCGGTTCCTCCATGAACCGACTAACATACCCAACCGCGAACGCGATGTTCGGCCGAGTATGCGTGAGGTAGCGCAGCCCGCTGACGATGCTCCAGTAGCGCGTCGCGTCCACCTTCGCCGCCGTGCTATGCTTGGACAGCTTTAGCCGCTCCTCCATTGGAGTTGCGCACGGCTTGCACTCCGCCATGCCGCTGCGCTCTAGCAGCTTCTCCGCATAGGCGCGCTGGCCTAGGGAGATGTGCTCCTTCCCCTGCCTCACCTCAATGCCGAGGTAGTAGGAGAGCGTGCCGAGATCGCTCATTTTGAAACGAGCAGCCATCTCGTGCTTGAAGCCGTCAATGTTCTCCGCCCGCGCTCCAGTGACTATCAAGTCGTCCACATACACGCCGACGACGAGCTCCTCCTTCCCCCGTCGCCGCGTGTACAGCGTGTGCTCTGTGGCGCAGCGAGTGAACCCAAGCTCGCCCAAGGTGGCGTCGAGTTTGGCGTTCCACACCGAGGGGCCTGCCGCAACCCGTAGAGCTCCTTGCGCAACTTGAGCACCTTGTGCTCAGCGCCCTTGACGGCGAAGCCCGGAGCTTGCTTGACGAAGACCGTCTCTGCGAGCTCGCCGTTGAGGAACGTAGACTTGACGACGAGGTGGTGGACGCGCCAATCCTTCGCTGCTGCCATGGCCAACAGCAAGCGAACGGACTTCATTTGCGCCACCGGAGCAAAGGCTTCCTCAAAGTCGATGCCCTCACGTTGCACGAAGCCACGGGGGACGAGCCGAGCCTTATACTTGGCAATGGCGCCGCGCTCGTCCCGCTTCACCTTGTAGACCCACTTCAACCCGATCGGCCTGTAGCCCACCGGTGGATCCACCAGCTCCCATGTCCCATTGTCCTCGATCGCCTTCATCTCCTCCAACATCGCCAGCGCCAATTGGCGTTGCGTTCAGCCACTGTGAACGTCGGCGGCTCCTCTGCGCTGACAAGTAGTAGTTCTAGGTCATCCAGAAGCCGGTTAGCCAGCCCAGGAGCTCCCCCTTCGCCAACGGGGTTGTTCACCTACTGAACCGAACCTCCTCGCCGTCATGGAAAGCATCCACGAACTCGTCGATGTCGGTGGGTGGTGATGCGAACTCTAGTGGGGGTGTCCCCTGTGCTGCCGTCGCAGAGGACTGTGGTGGATGTAAATGCGCCGCTGCTGGTGGAGACTGCTCTCAAGCAGCAGCATGTTCTCCAGCAGCAGCCTGCTCTCCAGCGCCATCATCTCCTCCTTGGATCACCAGGTGCTCAACAGCAAATGTGCTGCTGACACCAGCAGCTTCCCCGGCGCCTTGATCCTCCCAATCCCTAGCAGCCATCTACATCCCTAGAGACCATCACCTTGCCTCCCTTGGGATTATAGAGCCGATAGGCCTTGCTGCCCTCCTCATAGCCCAACACCACCATGGGCGTGCTTTTGTCCTCCAGCTTGTCGAGGTGGGGCTTTGTGTTCTTGACATGGCCAACGCAGCCAAATGTCCTGAGGAAGGACATATTCAACTTGCGTCCATGCCAAGCCTCGAACGACGTCTTGCCCTTTAGGGCCTTGGTGGGCGCGCGGTTGAGGATGTACACCGCCGTGGTCACCACCTCTCCCCAGAACTCCGCCGGCATCTTCTTAGCCTTCATCATCGACCTCGCCATGCCGACCATCTTCTGGTTGCGCCTTTCCACCACGCCATTCTGCTGCGGCTTGTACGGCGCGGTGTGGTGGCGCACCACACCTTGATCCGCGCGGTACGCTGCAAACTCTATAGAGGTGAATTCGCCGTCGCGATCAGTCTGCAGCACGCGCAACTTGAACTTCTTGACCGCTTCCGCTGCCTCGGCCTTGCTGGTCAGAAGCTGTAGCCACATGAACCGGCTGCAGTCATCCACCAGCAAGATGAAGTACTTGCGCCCGCCGTGCGTCACCGGCGTGATCGGCCCACAGAGGTCACCATGGACCAGCTCGAGGGCCTTTGCCGCGGTACTTCACCGTCTTCGGGAACGACAGCCTTCTTTGCTTCCCGGCCAGGTAGTTGTCACACAGCTCGCTTGCGTGCTCGATGTGAGGCAGCCCCCATACCATCTTTTCTAGCTTGCCGAGGGCGTCAAAGCTGAGATGGCCATAGCGGGCGTGCCACAGCCACGGCTCCTCCGTGCGCTGTGCAGCCAAGCAGATGGGCTTCTACACCTTCAAGTCGAGTAGGTACAGCCGGTTCTGGGACCTCTTCACCTTGGCAAGAAGCCGTTGCTCCCGGTCCCTGATCCTGAGGACGCCGTCCTTGATCAGCACCTCGCTGTCGCGCTCATCCAGCTGGCCAATGTTGATGATGCTTGAACGCAGCTGCGGGATGTAATATACATCCGTCAGCACGCGGTGCACCCCGTTCTGACACCTAAAAATGATGGTGCCGCGCCGTCGGATCGCCACCCTTGAGCTGTCACTGAACTTCACCGTGCCGGTCACGTTGCCGTCGAGCTCGAAGAAGGCTGCCTTGGAGCCCGTCATGTGGTTGCTGGCGCCGAAGTCCAGGTACCACCGCTGCTCCTGCTCGCCGCCCACACGTCCGAGGTGGACTTGGGCGCGTGGTTCGTCGAGGTTGACAGCCTTCAGAGCCTTCCAGTGCTCCTCCACCGCCATCACCTCTCCCTTGGCCTCAACGTCGTGCAGTGTAGATAACGTCGCCATCAGGAGAGTGGCCTTGTCGACAGAATATCGTCGGCAGTCCTTCGAGGGGTATCCCACGAAGGTAGATTGATCGACAGTGGTGCGTGTAATCAAGAACAAAAAGGCAATAGAGACACAAGAGTTAGACAGGTTCGGGCCGTCAGCACGACGTAATACCCTACTCCTGTGGTCTGTTGGTTTGTATTGGCTATCGTATGATAATACGTGTGTTTTGAGGGGGTCCCCTACCCGCCTTATATAGCCAAGGGTAGGGTTACAAGGCGGTTAGATTTAGGAGATAACCGGTAAGTAATAACAGATTACAGGAATCTCGGGATCGAGAATATCCTAACAGATCTTGTAGCATCTTTGGGATATCGCCTTTTACGTCTTGCGGTACACGCCGAGCAGTACCGTGCATCGTAAGTCTTCGTTTTGTGGGCTGGACCACCCCTGGGGGCGCAACCCATGTAGTGTGCCATGGGTATCCGGGGTCGTACCCCCCACAGCTAGTCCCCGAGCGCCTTGTATCCGCTGTGCAACGCCGTCGTCTGAGCAGGTGTAAACAAAGCCGAGTAGTCAGACTCATAGTCCGACCACCCTAATGAGTCGCCGAGCAGTTGTGAACTGTAACCGACCAGCTTAACTGTCCGGCTGAGCACGGGCTTACTCAAGTAAGGCTTGCCAGAAGGATGTAAGGAGCTCAAGTTCAAAATCGAAAATTTCCTTGCAGTGGACCAAGTGTGCCTACTTAGAGTCCGACCACTAGAAAGGGAGATAATCTTCTTCAACTTCAGGAGGCACGGAGTCTTCTAGATTAAAGAAAACACTCACCGTAAGGTGAAGTGTGCCTAGCAGTAGGTGACGTGGTCATGTGGTGCCAGGGTCCAGAAAGTAGAAGAAAGACAAAGAACCAGCCGAGCAGGCAACCAATCCACGGGCTGAGCCCTGAAATGAAAAGCGCACATTCACCGCAAAGTGAAGCGTGCCCACTTAGTCCCCGAGCCTGACAGTAGGTGACGTGGTCACGTGGTGTCAGGGTCAGAAACAACAGTCCCCAGTATGGCGAGAAATCGAATCATAATGATGACGTAGTCCCCGAGCCACAAGTAAAAATCTCGGATAAATCAAGAAGTGCCGATTACTCAAATTGTGGAGAAAAAGCCA